AAAAAAATAAAAATCAAATTTGATATAAAATTCAAATAGAATCAAATGATAAGGAATGAAAAAAATTCAAAATAAATAAAAAATAATTAAAAAAATAATGACCACAATTAAAATAAAAAAATAAAAATACAACTTTTAATTTTGGTTAGCCTAGGGCGAATCTTAAAGAAAAAGGAAAGAAAATATTGAGAGAAAAAAATATCAATTCTTGTAGAATTAACTCACACGTATCATCTTATTAGATGGGTTCCCACTTGACGTTTTAGATAACATGACAATTGATCATTTTTAATTATTGGGAGGCATTGCAAACACTATCTAAAGATAGTAAGTGTTTTTAACACACCAATGCATCTCACGTATGTTCCAAAAGCATTTTAAAAAATAATATTTAACATTTTTAAAATATTGAATTTCCATTGAGTGTAGTTATTAATTACCACAAGGGGAAGATGAAATGACAAAAAAATCCTTGGACACATGCCTAAGACAATTTGATTGTAATGCTAATTTAGTAATTTTACTTTTCAAATTAGAATCAATTTAGTAAGACAATTTGATTGTAATGATAATTTAGTAATTTCAGTTTTTAAATTAGAATCAATTTTTAAAAAAAAAAAACCCTGGACGGAGGTAAGTTAAATGGATTTTACTGGAGGGCTACTTGATAATTTTATTATGCAATAAAATAGTGAGATGATTGAGATCTCTTTGGTCCATCTGGTAATAATGAAAAAAAATCATATCACCTCTCAAGCTAAATTATGTGGTTTTGTTTTAAAAGAGAAAAATAATTGTTGTGTCACTCCAAGGTAAAATATGAATGTATACACAGTAAATATCTAATCTCTTTTAACTTTTCTTTTAGTTATTATAAACAAGCACCTAGATAAATCCCATCTTAAAAAATTAAAATTCATATCTAAAATCTTAGGCTAAATAAGGTTATATCCATGGTTTCTTATTAAACCTGTTCCACCAAATAACTTGGCCCAAGTCCCTATTCATGACTTGGACAGAATAATTATGTTATTTTTTTTACCAAGTTTACATATCTTTTATTATTTTCACTATAACTTTCTCTAAAAAAAATTGAATTAATATATCATTTATGGTGTTAGAAATAAGATAGAGTAAGTGTTTCCTACATATAAATTTTGGGTAAAAACATATATCTATTTAATATAGGTTTTAGGTCAAATACCTCAATTGACAATTTTTCACTTTTATTTTTAATTGTAACTTCATGCTTTTAGAACATTAAGTAATCTTAATCCATCTTACAATACCATATAATCTACTATTTTCATTATATTTGATAATTTATACAAATACTTTTTAAATATTGTTATATTTATGCACCTTTCGTATAGAGAAAACTCAATCAATCCAAGATGTTTTCTAAATAAAATAATTCATATTTCTTACCTTGAAATTAAGAAAATAAAATGTAACTTTAATCCATCAACCCCACTTCTCTTCTCTATGCCTACCAATGACTTTTAGGATTTGTTTTTATGGAATAATTTTTTGTAAATAATTTTCTAAATTTTTTTGTATTTTTTTACCATTAGAAAAATTGATTAATCAAATATATTTTCCAATCAAATAAAATTTTAGCTTAATTTCTAGAAAAATATTTTTCTTTTATTTTAAACGAAAAACACTTTCTAAAAATAGTAAAACATTTAAAAATATTTTATTATTTATTTATTATATAAAATTTGATTCCGATCTTTTCTATGCAAAACTGTTAGTTTCACATCTTCCTTGAATATTTTTATCAATTTTGATGTATTGCATTCAGCTTTAGAATGAAGACCTTATGTGATGACCTTGATTATGTGATTCTTTAGGCGAAGAGAGAGTACAGAAGTTGAGGACATATTCCTTGCTCATATTAATGGAATTGATACCCTGGCTCGTGGACTCCGAAGTGCTGCCAAGTTGATTCAGGTGAGATCTTTAATTTTCATCTTCTCTACGAGCTTTTTTTCATGGAAGTTGTTTTTATTATCTTGATTTTGATGCCTTTGAATTTGTTTGCTGCGGAACAAAGGATGGTTCATTGGCTGAGCTTGTTCGCAAACGCTATCAGAGTTTTGATACAGAAATCGGGGCGCAAGTAGAGGTAACATGCTTCTTATTCCTATTTTGTCATGTTTTTTAATTTTCCTTGTGGCTAACAAGAAGTGCATCTTCCAACAGGCTGGTAAGGGAGATTTTGAAACGCTTGAGAAGCTGGCCATGAAATGGGGTGAACCCAAGGTTCCATCTGCTAAGCAGGTATTTGGATAGTAACAATTTTTGCTTCAGCAATTGCAAAACGTCCATCACCATGAATCCGACCCATTTATGCAGATATTATAGATTGAAAAACTGAATGGATTTTTTTTGTTTCTCCATGAGTTCTAGCAGGAAACGTGATGGAAAAACTGCTGGCTTTCCCTTTACATATCAGTGATAATTTTGTAGGATTTATTTCCTATAATTATGGAAACATGTTGGCAACACATCTCATATTTTATTCTCTCAGAGAGGAAATATACAGACTTGAAATACATAGTAGCCATGATTTCTTATTTATGCTAAGTCTAGGATAATTCCATTCTATATGCATGGTAGGTGATCCATTCAACATAGAAGATCAAAATGCATCAAGTCCATTGGCTAAACTCCTAGATAATCCATGAACTTCAAGAACTTTCCGAATTAGTATCCAGATTTTAGCATGAGAAGTTAAAAATAAAAGTATGCAGTGCTTTTAGAAAGTGCTGGTTGAGCTTTTGCTACGAACCTCCAGCATGTTTTTATTTTCTTTGATAATTGAATCCATCTTCCCTTTAAATTTTTGTTTCCTCGACTGGTGCTTATTTCCTGCTTCTGTTAAAATTTGAATTATTAGAATGTGACTAGAATCTAATTCAAGATATTCGTGCCATTTGCAGGAACTTGCTGAGATGATTTTCCAGTCTGCACTGTAGAAAATGGCACGTAGACAGATGACTAGAGCCCCCCCACCCCCCCCCCCCTCCCCCCCCCCCCCCTTTTTCCTTCTATCTGATCATCTTCATCGGAAATAATATGCAATAGAGTTCTCACTAATAATAGATGCAGCGAATTGAACTTACTTCTGGAGTTGGATTCTGTTTCTTGTAAATATAATCTAGAATTGCTTTTCATGTCATGTCATTTATTTGTGAAATAATGAAATCAAAAGGGAAATGTTGAAAAATTATAAAAATCAATCAAAAACTTTCAAAATATCAAGTAAAAACTCTTCAAACTAATCAAGAATTTATAAAGCACCATTGAATAAAATAATAAATGAATATTGGTTTGATTTTAATAGCATGTTTGAGATGTAAGAAAGATTACTTTTTAAAGTTTTTTTAAAGAATAATATTTTTTTATTTTTTAAAATTTATTTTTAACATCAAAACAATTTAAAATACATCAACAAATTAATTTAAAAAAATCATAATTGCACCATATAAACAAACGAAGTGTAATACTGAAAGTCCCTCCTCTTCTTTTTCTTTTTTTTTAATATGATGCTTGGTTAGCTTCTTCGAGTACAGGAGCCTCCGTACAAGAACTCCATTCACAACCACACATTTAGGCATGCTAATTATCCGTTTCAACGTGACCTCCCACTCTTATAGATAAAGAAGAAACTAGCAAGAGATAAACAACCAGTCAAAAAAAAAAAAAAACCCAGAGAAAGATGAAGCTACAATTCCACACGCAATTTGTAAGGATTACCCTCGTAGTCCTCCAACTCATAAACCCTTCACTTCAATGGCCTGAGCCAGAGCACTCATCAGCCCCAATTCCCGCTCCATGGCCTGAACAATTCCATGCACTTTTGTATATGAACTTGAGCTCAACACGCCTCCAAATCACCAATCTGTGGTATGATTGGCCTAGAGGCCGCAATGTGAATATAATACAGAAACAACTATCTGTTTTGTTATATGACACGGAGTGGAATAATGGAACAACCTTCTATTACACTTTAAGCGAGCCTCATAGCTGTCGGATTATGGTCAATGATGTGGGTATTCCCAGGCCTGATTTTCTTGATGGAGCCGAATATCTAGGGACTGCTGTCACTGATGGGTATCTACGCAATGCATGGGAGAAGATCGACACTATGTGGTACTATGAGGATGTTTATATGAAGAGGCCTGTCAGATGAGATTTTAACGATGGTATGATATCGCTTATGATTTCTATTATTAATTTGAAGCTGCAGTGCTTCATGTTCATTTGATTATGGTTATTCCTTGTAGTTTGCTGTTTACAACCTGATTATATTTGCAGGTATTTCCACTCATGTGATAACTTTTGACGTAGGCGCAGTGCTTTTGGATGATTCAGTGACTCAAGCTCCTGCGTACTGCTTCAACCAGGAGATCGAGAACATTTAAATTTTAGTTTTAAGGTGGTGCCTCTGCTTGAAGATGGAGGTGACTTTCCCAGTTTAGTCACGAACAAGGTCACTAGTACGAATTATCCAAAAAAGAAA